AGTAGGTGCTAGGTGCACTGGGAGTTATTGCAGAGTTTTGCACGCTGAGTTCATGATGAGACCTCCTGGGGCTGCTCCCTGATAAAATTAATCAAGAAGGGAACACACTGCACCCTGTACTTTTTAGGTTTCCAGGCACTAAATGGGGGCCAACGTGCTGTTTAACCCCTAAAGCTTTTCTAAGATCCCAGTTGTAACCTTGGTTACAATAGAGCTGTGGAGAAGTAGGATTTATGAAAACAGTTGAAGTTCACAGACACAGCTACAGATCTTGTATTAACTTGTATTTCCTAGTTACAGTTTTGAAGTATTGAGTGAATGATTTAAACAGATTTTAAAAGATTCTGTAATATTTGTATCCAGATATTGATACCATATTATAATCTTTATCTAAAATATTGTCTCTTCTGGGGTGCCTGCCTGGCTCAGTCAGTAGAGCATGGGACTCTTGATCTCAGGGTCATGAATTTGGGCCCCACGTTGGGCACGGAGTCTACTTTAAAAAAAAAAAATAAAGAATACTGTCTCTTGATATATCTGAAACAAGATTCAAGGTCTGTGAGACTTGAGGAAAGAATAATTTTTTAGAAGGAAAATAAGTAAATCGCTCTCTCCTATCACACATATGCATGTATACACAGATTAGTCAGGGATTGGAGAGAAGTGGAGTCAAATTAGAGAGCAAGGCTAAGGTTCTACAGAAGTTGAAAAATAACAAAGTACAGAGCACTTTTGAAATGACTTTTGTAGCCTTTTATTTTGTAATAATTACAGATTTGTGGTAAGTTGCAAAAGTCAGAGAGGTCTCATGCCCTTCTGCCCCATTTTCTGACGGTGCGTCTTGCATCACTACAGTTCAATGTCACACCTAAGGAACTGACAGTGGTACGATCCATAGACCCTGCTTCACCACTTTTACATCATTTTTAGCACAGTTTTCTTTTCTTTTCTTTTTTCTTTTCTTTTCTTTTCTTTTCTTTTCTTTTCTTTTCTTTTCTTTTCTTTTCTTTTCTATTCTATTTTAGAGAGAGTGCGTACAAGTTGGGGAGTGGCTCAGAGGGAGAGAGAGAGAGAGAATCCCAAGCAGGCCCAGTGTGGGGCTCGATCCCACCCCTGAGATCATGAGCTGAGCCGAAATCAAGAGTTGGAGGCTCAACCAACAGAACCACCCAGGTGCCCCTAGAGCACGTTTTTAAAAAAAAAAAAAAAATGCCTAGGGGCACCTGGGTGGCTCCGTTGGTTGAGCGTCTGACTTTGGCTCAGGTCATGATCTCACGGTTTGTAGGTTCGAGCCCTGCGTTGGGTTCTGTGCTGACGGCTTGGGGCCTGGAGCCTGCTTTGGATTCTGTGTCTCCCTCTCTCTCTGCCCCTCCCTCGCTCACACTCTGTCTCTCAAAAAATGAATAAACATTAAAAAAATTAAAAACTGCCTGGCTGGCTTGGTCGGTAGAGTGTGCGATTCTTGATCTTTGGGGTTGTGAGTTCGAGTCCCATACTGAGTGTAGAGATTACTTAAAAATAAAATGTTAGGGGCGCCTGGGTGGCTCAGTCGGTTAAGCATCCGACTTTGGCTCAGGTCACGATCTCGCAGTCCGTGAGTTCAAGCCCTGCGTTGGGCTCTGTGCTGACTGCTCAGAGCCTGGAGCCTGTTTCACATTCTGTGTCTCCCTCTCTCTCTGACCCTCCCCCGTTCATGCTCTGTCTCTGTCTCAAAAATAAATAAACCTTAAAAAAAATTTTTTTAAATAAAAAAAATAAATAAAATGTTAAAAAAAAGTAACATAGTCTATAGACCTATTATTAAAATACTTGAAAATTTAACATGAAGCTCTGATGAGAGATTATATATTATACTTAGGGTTTACTAAAGATCTTTGTAGATAGTAGTTGTCTTTTAAGTGTTTATAAAACATTCATGTCTATATTACATAAACCTAGACAAAAATGTGTAAGCTGATAGTGTATTTCTTACATTTTATGTACTAAGGAGTTTTGAAAAACCAAAGTTCCTCTAGAATCACTTTGAGAGGCTCAGAAAAGTCAGAATCTGTTATTTTCTGTATTGCACTATTTAAATAGGAAGGCATCATCAGAAATCAACACCGAGTTCACTCAAAAACCAAAAGCAGGAAAAAGCAGGTGTGTAGTTAGAAATGGCAACACTTTCAGAAGCCTTTTTTAGGCCCCCCCGAGGTGGTGTGGAATGTAGCTAAAGACGACAGGGCCCACGTGGATTCCTGATGAGCTTCCTGATGAGCCTGGTTGCTTTCTCCTCTTTGAGAGTTTCTCCCCTTTGGGCCACTGGTGCTAATTGCTTGTTACCAGAGGGTGATGCAGGGTGTGCATCTGAGCGCTTCTCCAGGAGCGGTAGGAGTGGCCGGCAGAGTGGGAGGTGCTACTAGGAAACGGTGCTGCCATTTCTTTCTCTCTGTCTCTTTTTTTTTTATGTTTATTTATTTATTTTGAGAGGGTGGGGGAGGGGCATAGAGGGAGGGAGAGAATCCCAAGCAGGATCCACATGGTCAGCACAGAGCCTCACAGGAGACTCGATCCCACAAACTGTGAGATTATGATCTGAGCCAGAACCAAGTCAGGTGCACGCTTAAGTGACTGAGCCACCCAGGCGCCCCCAGCGCTGCCATTTCTGACTGTGGACGTGGTCATCCAGGCTGGAGTTGGGGCTAAATTCTTCAGTATTTGCCATGGTTTTGTTTTGTTTTGTTTTGTTTTGGTTTGGTTTGGTTTGGTTTATTGTGTTTTTTGGCTAGTTTTAGCAAGAAAGGCTGTGGTAGGAAGTTTGTTAATTTTACAAATGAGCTCATTACTTTTGATTGTCGAGCACAGCCTTTCAATTTAGACAGAGTCTGTTCCTATGGAGCTTCACTTGTCCGGCACAATCATCTTCACTTTTCGGGGCTTGAGAGGCAAGGGGATTGTTGTCACCCGAATTTGCATTTTCACCCTTGCTGCTTGTTTCCTTCTTACAGGGAGATCTGGCAGATTCTTTTTTCATTGTAGAATCTGGTGAAGTGAAAATCACTATGAAAAGGAAGGTAAGTGTTGGCAAGTCCCAAACACCCATGGGGAGCAAGGAACACCATAGGCTTCCTTTCTGATGCTTTTTAGACTAAGGTTAGCTCGGTTTTCATAAGCTGAGTCAAAGCGCATGCTCTTACTTCCCTTGTCAGGGCAAATCCGAGGTGGAAGAGAATGGCGCAGTAGAAATTGCTCGGTGTTCCCGGGGACAGTACTTTGGAGAACTTGCTCTGGTCACTAACAAACCCCGAGCAGCTTCGGCGCACGCCATCGGGACCGTCAAATGTTTAGGTAGGAGTCACAGCGCTGTACGTGCTCCTCTGGGTGGAAGCTGTTCGGTCTGCCTTTTATGTATTCGTGTTGCTGTACTGATGGTCTTACTGGGTTCACACGTTTCACAGTCCCCACTAGAGAGAACAAGGTAAGGACTCATAGCATTATGAAATCGATTTGTGGGAGGCCCTTGGGTTTTTTTTTTAATTAAAATATTAAAAAAATTTTTTTTGATGTTTATTTTTGAGAGAGAGAGAGTGAGTGTGGGGGAGGGATAGAGAGAGAGGGAGACACAGAATCTGAACCAGGCTCCAGGGGCCTCAAACCCACGAACTGTAAGATCATGACCTGAGCTGAAGTTTGGTGCTGAGCCACTCAGGCACCCCTAAAATATTCTTTTTAAAAAAATGGTTTCATTTTGAGAGAGAGAGAGAGAGCATGCACCCACAGGGTGGGGGAAATGGGAGAGAGGGAGAGGAGAGAGAATCCCAAGCAGGTTTCACACGGTCAACTCAGAGCCTGTTGGGGGGCTCGATCTCACAAACTGAGATCATGACCTGAGCCGAAGTCACGAGTCAGATGCTTAACTGACTGAGCCACCCAGGCACCCCGCCCTTAGTTTTTTCTTTAAAATTTTTCACATACCTATTTTCTCCTGTTTTCTTCTTTCATATAGGCGTGAAATAGCATCTTGTTTTAGTAAAGAATTCTGAGTATGGAGTTTTATGTCTAGTTTTTCAAATAAAGTTTGTGTTCCTGAAAAAAAAAGCCAGAATAGTATTTTTATAGCATACATTAAGGTCTCTGGGCAAAGCTGGAAGCTCTTTGGGAGTACTTCCTCGTCCTGGTCCCAGGAAACCATGGTTTCAGGTTTGTCAGAATGCAGCACAATCTTCTCTATTGTTCAACTTCTTATTTCCTAGCAGCAGAGATGCTGTCCTCAAATGGAAGACGTCTGTCTGTATCTGAGATCCATATATGAGAAAGCGCTTACTTTAATGGTGAAAAATGGAATTCAGGAGGAGTCCATGTAGTTGACATTTTAAGAAAAATTGATTCAACAGTAATTAGCCACTCTGTGTTCTTATTCACAGTTTAGTAGAATAAACTTGGCTTCAGTGTTCTTTTTTTTATGTTTATTTTGAGAGAGAGGGACAGAGACAGAGTGTGAGTGGGGGGAGGGGCAGAGAGAGAGGGAGACCCAGGATCTGAAGCAGGGTCCAGGCTCTGAGCTGTCAGCACAGAGCCCAACGCAGGGCTCGAACTTAACAAACCACGAGTTCATGACCTCAGCCGAAGTCAGATGTTTAACCGACTGAGCCACCCAGGCACCCCAGCTTTAGTATTCTTAAGATCTGAGGGTCCCTTCAGAATCAACTTCCTAGAGGAGCCCCTTTTTAAAGGGCTCAAGTGTTACACCTGGATGAAAAAGAAGGTAGTGAGAAACTGACAGGTAATTTTCCTGAGTATAGACATTAGTGAGAAAGAGTAAAGGTGAAGTGAGTGAAATCCCATTATTTTTTTCCTATAACAGATTTATTCACATTAAGGAAAATTTGAGAAATACAGAGAAGGTAGGAAAATTCCTTACCACCACTACCAACCCCCAGTGATTTCCACATCCTCTTATAATTCCTCATCTTTTTTATTTGCATGGGTTTTCTGTTTTTAGAGTGTTGTAAACCGCTGTGTTTCATTTACTGTACCTTAGGCTCTTATTTTATTTCTCATTTTATCAAATTGTAACATTCTGTTAGGTAAACATCCACATTATGAGTTAATTGGTCTCCACTGGCGATTTTGGGGGTTTGGGCTCCATATTTTTCCAGTGGGGGGGAGCAGGTTTTGTGTCTGTGCGCACAGACTACTTTTCCATGTATAGGATTTTTCCTTAGAGATGGTTCTCGGGAGTAGCCTTTCTTTTTACGGAGTTCACTGTATACTCCCAGCCCTCTTGACCTGTGCTGATGCACGTGCTACTGGCAGTGCAAGAGTGTCCACTCCCTCCGCTCTTGTGAACAATGTCCCTTGTACCTTTGCAAATTTGAAAGGCAAAAAAAAAAAAAAGTTTTAATAAAAATTTGCACTTCTACAGTAGAAAGTGTGATCATAGTTTCTACGAGTATATTATAAATTGAGTTTTTAAAAATGCATGAGACAGACCAGGAAAGTGACATACATACAGCATATACTTACAAGTGGAGAAGAGCATTCTGGCTGCTGTTTTGAATTGGCTAGGCGATAGTATGAGAGAGTAAACGTTACACAAGGTAACATCATGTCTTTACAGCATAGCGTCGTAAGTAAGCCCCGAGAAGGAAGAACAGTAGAGGAAAAAAAGGCCTTGCCACCTTTGAGGAGAGTTCATGTTACTGAGGTGGTGAACTATTTTTTAGGGGGGCCTGGGTGGCTCAGTCGGTTAAGTGTCTGACTCTTAATTTCGGCTCCGGTCAAGATCTCACAGTTTGTGAGTGTGAGCCCCACATCGGGCTCTGCACTGACAGCATGGAGCCTTTTGGGATTCTCTGTCTGCCTCTCTCTCTGCCCCCTGCTCTCACTCTCTCAAAAATAAACTTTAAAAAACAACAACAGGTTTTTAGAATTACCAGGCTTTGCCATTATAGTCCCTTGTTTTTTTCTTACCCGAGACCAGGAGCCTCCCAGCAACCTAGCATTGCACAATCCCATTGTCAAGGGAACACTGGCTGTTTATTTTCTGAAGTGGAACATTTTTATCCTTGTGCCCTTTTCTTATATTTGATATTTATCTAAAAATACCATTGCAGCGTCACCTGGGTGGCTAAGTCGGTTAAGAGTCTGACTTTGACTTGGATCATATCTTACAGTTCATGGGTTCAAGCCCTGCTGACAGCTCAGAGCCTGGAACCTGCTTCGGATTCTGTGTCTCCTTCTCCCTCTGCCCTTCCCCTGCTCATGCTCCATCTCTCTCCCTCCCTCTTTCTCTCTCCCTCTCCCTCTCTCTCTCTCAAAATAAAACATTAAAAAAAATAAAAATAACCATTGCATTCCTGACACATGCAGAATGGGTATCCTAAATGACTTTGCAGTTTTTCAGATTTGCAAAGAATGTTACATTTCTTTTTCTTCTCTCCTCTCCTTCTCTTAGCCATGGATGTGCAAGCATTTGAAAGGCTTTTGGGACCTTGCATGGAAATTATGAAAAGGAACATTGCCACTTACGAAGAACAATTAGTTGCCCTGTTTGGAACTAACATGGATATTGTTGAACCCACTGCATGAAGCAAAAGTATGGAACAAGACCTATAGTGACAAAATTACACAGTAGTGGTTAGTCCACTGAGAATGTGTTTGTGTAGATGCCAAGCATTTTCTGTGATTTCAGGTTTTTTCCTTTTTTTACATTTACAACGTATCAGTAAGCGGAGTAGTGATTTAATACTCTATAGGCTTTAACATCACTTTCTAAAGAATAGATCAAAACAATATTGACATACTGATGAAATGACTTTGTACTCCACAAAATTATGATCTCAGTGAGAGGTTTATTCAAATGATTGTAATATATTGAAAGTATCTGTGTGCAAGAAGATAATTGAAGGGTGTTACCATGGGCAACGTGTTCATGTGGACTCCCTCGGATTGCTGTGTTAGTGACTCTGCCCATGTAAAAGGGAACTTGGCAGTGAACCATGCTCTACAGCATGGCATCACATTCTTTTTACAACTCGCTATATATATAGTCAGTACAATTTTAATCATTTTTGTTTTCAAGTTTTTCTGGCTTGGTAAGTTATGTGCTGGCCTTGGACTATGGCATAAAACATCATATGCAATTTTAAAACCTTTTATATTTTTGCAATAAAGTATGTTTTGACTTCTTTGGCCTAACGTCAGTAACCTACATGTTCCAGTGGTTTTAAGGACGGGCAATGTAGTCATTATGATAATAGGGAAGAGTCTTTTTTAGAGGAGAGATCATTAACACAGTTTCCTCATAAAACATATATCTACTTCCTTTTTTCATTGTATAGTTCTCTGTACTCTTAAAAAATTTGAGTTCGACATTTAATGTCACAGTTTTTTTTGATGCTATTTAAACTTGTCTTATAGAAGCTGAAGATACTACATATGCTAAGGGGGGGAAAAACTGTCCTATACCAAAAATATTTTGGAGTCCTTATCTACACGCCCACAGGATATTTCTCGGTTCTTCACTAGGCATACATAACACAGTCCTCTGCAGACATCTGTTCCCTTGGGTTTCCTTTATGGTGGTAGAAATAAATTTTTATAAACCATACGTAAAGATAAAAGGAATTTCTGCCCAGTCCAGATGTACCATTAGACCTTGCCATTTGCATGAACATAGACTCAAATGTGCAGGATGAACTCAGTTGTATAAATTTTCATTGATAATTGATATACTTATTATTCTGCTATATAAGATGAATTAAATTCCACTCAACCAAAGCAGTATTATTCTTAATGTGATTTCTAGGCCCACGTGACCACAGTGTTTGGAGAGGTTAATTCTAACCAGTTGTTCACTTTTAAATGAGCAATTTCATTTTGGGGAAACAGGTTTTAAAAAAACATATACCTGGGTAAAAATATTCTGTGGCTGTTATAGTGTGGTGTTATTAGAGAATGTTTATGGTCTGAGTATAATGAAAATATGGCTAAAATAGGTTCATCGGGTCATGTATATGTAAACAATATGTAAAGTATAACTTCAACCCCATTTTAGAACACTTTAATGATTTTACAAACCTTCATGTAGGAAGAGAGCTTACTACATGAGGATGACTTCTTTTCTACTTCAGATTTTATTTTAAAAGTCATGTCTGTTAGACAAGAAAAAAAAAAAAACCGCAAAGAACCCACCCAAATTCCTGGTTCATCATTCTGTATTCTTTATCCACTTTTTCAAGATACCTTGTTGCATAAGCTGATTGTTAACTGTTCATGGAATAGCAAACAAATGCCTGTTTAATAGAGAATTCTGACCAAGGCTGTAAATGCCAGTTACATTATTTTCAGTATTGTTGGTTATATTTAAATTTACCTTATAATAAAGCACACTTTTATAATAAAATGTTTTTAATGAAGTTTTTTTTTTGTTTTGTTTGTTTTTCGCTAATTTCTTTTTTTTTTTAATTTTTTTTTTCAACGTTTTATTTATTTTTGGGACAGAGAGAGACAGAGCATGAACGGGGGAGGGGCAGAGAGAGAGGGAGACACAGAATCGGAAATAGGCTCCAGGCTCTGAGCCATCAGCCCAGAGCCTGATGCGAGGCTCGAACTCACGGACCGCGAGATCGTGACCTGGCTGAAGTCGGACGCTTAACCGACTGCGCCACCCAGGCGCCCCATGTTTTTCGCTAATTTCTTTACTGGTACTTCCGTCGTGCATACTGCACTATGTGAAAGCCTGACTGAGATGTGGCCAATGGGAAAACCGCCACCCCCTCCCCCCACCCCGGGCGTAATGCAACCAGGAAACATTGCTCTTTATAGCAATAGGTTTTTCACAAATTTTAACTATCAGTCATATGCGATATAAACATATAAACAATTATGGTCTGCTGCAGACTCATTGGGCCATTTTGGTTAACGAAATAAACCTGGCTAATAGGGAATTTATATGTCAAAGTGTCTTATTAAAATACCTTAAGTTTCACTTGTGGATGTGGATGTCATTATTCAGTCACCAGCCAAGATATTTTACTACTTGGAAATTCTCTGTTGAAGTTTCATTCAAGGACCCAGTATGTGCAGCTAAGAAATACTCTGGAAGTCTCCCTGTTTGTTTTATAGTGTGTGTTTTCTGCATGTCATGATGAACTAGGGCTTGGTGCATATATTTTCGCAAACGCTACCTGTGATACACGTTGGGTGAATGTATTTGGCTTACTGTTAGAAAGGAGTGGACCATTTAAGGTGTGTAGAAATGTGCAGGGGA